TAATCGAAAAAAATAATCGACAGATTAATGGATTATTAAAATAATCATTAGTTGCAGCCCTAAAAATACTATCAAAATTACTGACTATTGCTTTTCCAATACTATAATCATTTGGGTATTTGTTGAGCCAAATTAGAACCAATATTTACAATAAATGTATTAAAATAATTTACTCTGTCATATTTAAGACGAATCATGCAGTCGTCTTGAAAAGGCCACCAATAATAATTGTATGATGTCCACCTACTACTAGCTACACCTCCTACAGTATGTACCAGACTACATTACATTAGTACATAAACTATCGGGCCTTGTAGAATACCATAAGAGCTGTGAACAAGCCCACAGAAAACACCCATTGACTACAATTCTATGTATTGAATAATTTAGCTAATCTATGTAGTTAGATCCTGGTCCTGGAGGGCCACTATTCTGTATGATTTCCTGCTCCAACTCACCTGATTCAGTCATAGTTAACTCAAGGTTCAACAAAAACCTGTTAATGACTCGTCGATTCAAATCAGGTGTGTCAAATCAGAGTCCTAGGTCCTGCTCCTTTCGAACCGTTATCCTGCAGGTTTTTGATATTTCTATTTATATGGCTCATTAACAGACTTGTGTAGGACTTTAGAGACCTGCTGAGGATAGTGGCCTGTGAGAGCCTACAGTGGATTCTCCTGGTCTAGTTGAATTTCTGCTGTCATTTGTTTTATTTGTGTGATTCCCACAAGGATCAGGAGCACAATGGGCGAAGCAAATTCTGCTCAGAGACTGCATTTTTAGGTCCACTTAGAGCTTAGGTCAACTTTGCTGTGGTGGGTTGTGAGACGCACTCCCACTCGGTGAACACCACCACATACAGAACTGTCTCAACAACATTCTCCATGGTGCTGCCTCATCTTCCTCTCATTGTTGAAGACTTTGGCACGTTTGCCAAAAAAAAATTAAATCCTACAACCACTATAATCTGATGTCACGCCATGTTTGTTTAGATTTTGTGAAGAAGGAAGTTGTGCTCAGTGTCTTCAGAGGTTTGTGTGTTGATTCCTTCAGTGGGTCTTGGTGCAGCACCACCACATGTGGGGGCGGCAGGTTCACAGGGTTTAGTTAGTTTGACAAAGTGCAGCA